AGATCCGGAGTATGAAGATAAAGGAAAGTATTTTTTTAAAACATATTTTAATGATAATTCAAAAAAATAATATAGATTTTTTAATTAATAAAAATTCATGTAAAAATACTGTAAATACCAAATTTGAAATAAATTGTTTTTTGAAAATGTAATTACTATTTTGAAAAAATGAATGAAAGGAAAGAGAGAAAAGAAGATGGAAGAATTAAAATACGAAAGTAAATATTCAAAATATTTTATATTCCTTATAGAGAGAAAAAACAATGATAGAACGACATGTGTTAAGTTTTTGGAATCGCCACATGTCAAGTTCTTGGAGATTGAACTCTTCTTTTTGTTTTTATACTAGTACTTTAACCCGTGCCATGCACGGGGTCGAATGAAATTTTTATTGGTTCTATGAATTATCTTCAATGTAATATTTTTTAATGAGTTTATGAATGTATATGTAATGCGTTCTTTATAGACATTAAAAAAAGTAAAATAAATAATTTAGCATATAATATTTGGCAATGAAAATGCTCATATATAAATTCAAAAGCAAACATCTCAAAGTCTTTTTTAAATTCATACTTTATTGAAAGCCTCTGGAGATTAAAACATTTTTGGTGTGCTTACAAGTTTTCATTATCATTTAAAACTAATATTTTTAACTCTGTCTTGGTTTTCACTCGTGAACATCAACATAAAAATGACCATGAGTGAACTTCAACTTGGTTAAAAATAATCCAACAAATAACAATATTTGACCTTTACTTTTGTTCATAGTCATAGCAAGACATAAAGCATTCATCGTTGTATATCTTCATCTCGTCTTCATTCATTGTAGATACATATTGTTTAAGATTAGATGACAACCTTTCTTTGTCATAGTTCAACTCTTCTACCAAGAAATCATTTCGAAATCTATTAAGTGGAATGTCATCACGGAATGACATACCATTAAACTCTTTCATACTGATATTCATATATATAATAAAAACTACGGAGTACTTTTTTTTATATAAATACCATAACTATTTAATGTTTATCTTCGATCAAATAAAATTCTATCAACCAAGAGTTTCCATGATTTTTCCCAAACAACTTAAAAACGACTCATGGTATTTATCAATAATCATAATTAAGGTGACTAATAGTTTTTTTGTTGGCTCCAAAATTCTAGCTCAGTAGTCTCTTTTATACATTCAATAAATTCAAATGCCATGGAAGCTCTTGGTTGATGGATTTTAATTGATCAATAGTAATGTGACTAATAACTTTTCTAGCTGATTCAAAAATTCTAGCTCAGTAGTCTCTTTTATACCTTCCATAAATTCTTTATCATCCTTTAATATACAAATCCATAAATTCTTTATCATCCTTTAATATACAAAGGCAAAGGGAAAACATGAGTAGTAACTTTTCCCGCCTAGCAATTTGGTTCGAACTATGGATTAAATGGACATTTAGGATCGGGTATAGTCTAACCAAATAACCAACTTTATTGAATACTGTGTGGGACAGCCTGTATTGGGTTAACCAAATGACCCACTTTATGGAATGCCGTGTGGAACAACCTGTATTGGGCAAATTAAATAGCCTATTTTATGGGATATTGTGGCGGTGATAGTGTGATAGTTACAATGTGACAATATGATAAGTGTGACAGTGTAACAATATCAGTGTGAACTTTTATTTTGGTCTTAAAAGACATATGACTCGTATTTTGGCATTTTCATAGTTTCTTACTCATATCTAGGAAGTTTCCCATTTAAGTACTGATACTGTCTATTTTTAATCACAACATTGATCTCTTTGAACACATATGTACTTAAACCTAAGTGAGGGTGGTGGATGCATGACACATCCTTGAATTATACCTGAATACTTTGAAATTAGATTTCGGAGGTATCAATTATTTCCATTAATATGACTCTAAAATTAAGTAATTTAAGTAACAAATCCAAAAAAATGGATAGCTATATCGCAAATTACAATGTTAATGCTTTACTAAATTTAGAAGCTTTAGAATTTATTTAAAAAGAGGGCAAATATATCGTACTTTAATATATTTAATTTTTTATTAAAATTATAAGGCTTAGCTAGCTTTTAGAAAATTCCTGCCATTTAGTAGAATATGACAATTTTAGATAGTACTTCAAGATCCATTCCATTTAGAGTACACATCAATTGAACATGTATATTCTTACCATAAGTAAATTATACTCTATAATAGAGAATAAATATTTTGCATCGTGAGTATAATTATATTCTATAGAGCTTGATTTTAATTTTTTTTAGTTACAAATATAATTTTAGTTTGTTGTCAATTACATAAAATATCACTAAGTGTCAAAATTATTCCATAATACTCTTTTCGTCTAGATTTAATCTTCAAAATTGATTTTATTGGTCAAATTTTCTAAATATTGACTTCGATATATGAAAAAAAATATTTCTCAATAAATGTAGCATTAATAATTTTCTTGAAACATTATTTTGAAATATGAATTTTTCATAAGATATGATAAAAATAAATATCGATACTAATGGTCAAATGTTAGATTGAATATTGTTAAAAGTCAGATAACAAAGATTAAATCTATTCATACAATAAGAAGTCTTAAAGTTATACTCTCTCTGTCTGAAAATGATCTTCTCAATCACTATTCACATGGTCATGTCACTTCTTGTTTTGTAAAACTTTTGATGTAGTTTTGAAATATATAATTTTTATTTTTTTAAATTTACATCTATAATCAGATAAGTTGAATTGAAAATAACTTCAGTCAAACATCGTAAACCGAACCGAGAAGAACATTTTAGGACGGAGAGAGTAATTTTTTTCAAGATAGGTAACAACCAAATCCTTTATTTTTCTTTGGCATAAGACGACTAACCTAAATATAACAGGAGTGCTTCTATGATCCACCTTGAGTGCATACCATTTTTGTGGACCTTCTCACATAAAAACTTTTTATTTTGTTATTTTTAGTTTAAAAACAAATGCTTATCTATGTAGTAAAAAAATACTTATTTTGCTCAAATGTAGGTTTATGGTAGACCTTAAGTCCACCATAGAATTTGCCATAGAATAGTAATAAACTTCATTCAGAGAAGCGAATATTAATGATATGCACAACTAATTATTCCGTAAAAATTAATGACTCTAAATTACCTCTTTTATGCAAAAAATAATTCTAAATCCAAAAATATGAACTATTCTTTAGCCCCATACGTGTATACGGTACACATATTGGAATGTTTGAATAATTTGAAAAACATTATTCATTAATTGTCTAGGTTTGCTTTGTTGTCAAATCTTGAATTGGATATTTTATGATTTTAAAAATAAAAAAAAGCATTAAAATTTCAATGATTGCACTTCATTTCATTAATTCAAAGAAAAAATAATATAAACAACATTAGCAATCTTATGATTCTGAAAGAAAATTTATAAATACATTTAGAAAATTCTATTCAATTCTCCTTCCATTATATATGTTTGAATAAGAAATAATTCAAACTCATAAAACATTCTTTTTTTAAATTTATTTTATTTAAATAGTTGATCATTTAGAAATAATATAGGCGCCTCTTGTTTTATATAATACTTCGTATTAACTTAGGTGTTGGACATGAGTTGAAACCCCTTTATTATTGGAATACTTTTTTGTTTTTATAAATGACAAACAAGATGATTAAATTCAAGCTGATCGAAAATTTATTTTCATATCGAGAAAAGCAAAAAGGCGTATCAAGATAAAATCAAGGCTTAACCCTACGCAGAAGTTTTTGAAGTGAAGTGAAGACTCCGAAGATTTTTTTTAATTGAGTCTAGGAATCTTTGTAAGGATGACAATACTTTCTGCACAAACAAATTATTTTTGAGGGATAAAAATTATTATTTTCTAAGTCAGTTGAAAAATTACTTTTCCTCTGTCTAAAACTATTTTACTGAGTCAGTTTCAAAATAGTGTGTCAAAAAGTTCTTAAAAATATTTTTAAGGTTACACAATTTTTTTTGGTAAGAAAAATATACTTTAAATATTTTTCGTGTACATCTTTTGACACACAAAATAATTTTTGGACTCACTTTTTCTCCCCTATTCAAATTCATTGAATAAGGGATATGGTGCATTGATTCCAGTTGTCTCAAAAAACCCGTATGAAGCCGAAGGCTTCAATCGCAGATTGGCTTGGGCCCTTTATGTTTGCACGATATTTTGAAATTAATCGATTTTCTCTTCCTGATTAATAGACTTCTGGTTGGATTCCCAGGATCACCCAATAATCGATTAATTTTCTTCATTTAATCGATTTGTTAGCACAGAGCCACCTAATCGATTATTCTCTTCAGTTTAATCGATTAGTTCCTTTCTTGATTTCTGGCATTTTCGCCTCTGTGTACCTTAATCGATTAATAGTTTCATTTTAATCAATTATTTTTATCTGGTGCATATTCTCGCTTGCTCCAACGGCTTTATTTTCCTCAACCTATTTAATGCCTCATTCTCCTTCATTTCTATACACTACTCTTGCACTCTAATATACCCTTTGAGCTATATTCATTCCTTGCTTCATCTTTCTCATCAAATATTATTTTTGAGAGTTAGAAATATTTTTCTTTGAGTGCTAAAGAAGTTGTCATCCATAGAGCTTTAATCTTTCAACACTACTTTGCTCAAATTATGTGAGCTTTCATTCTTGTGTTGTAAAAACTCAATCCTATTTGAGTGTAGCTAAGACTTGTCTGATTCAAGTCTTGTTGTTGTTAAGACTTGTGTGACTCAAGTCCTGTTGTTGTAAGAAAGTGAGGCTTGTGTGATTCAAGTTCTCAAGTTGTACCGGTTTTTCAAGCACCCGTTGAAGCTTGAAGATTAGTAGGACTTTCGAGAGAGTCTCTCGGAGGACTGGACTAGCCACGAGGTGGTGAACCAGTATAAATCTCGGTGTTCATCTCTCATTTACTCTCTTTATTTATTCCTGCGATTTTATTATTTCAGACACGCGAGAAACGCACATTCTTGAAAACAACTCTATTCACCACTCTCTAGAGTTGCACATTTGTCTAACAATTGGTATCGGAGCAGAGAGTTCTTCGAATACATTATTTTTCAAGAACTAAAAGATCAAATGGCATCAAGGATGTTCAATGCAGGAGTGACTGAGGGACAATCAACCACAAGGCCACCGTTTTTTGACGGAACCAACTACTCTTATTGGAAGGAGAGGATGAGAATCTTTATTCAATCCAACGACTATAAGCTGTGGTTGATTGTGAAGAACGGCTGCGGAGTCCTGATGAAGAAAGTTGGTGAAGTCAACGTCCCCAAAACCGAAGAGGAGTTCACCGACGAAGATTGCAAAAAGATGGAGCTCAACGCTAAGGCAATAAACATGATTTATTGCGGTGTTAATGCGGATGACTACCGTAAAATCTCGCGGTGTGAAACCGCAAAACAAATGTGGGAGAAATTGGAGGTCACCTACGAAGGAACCGCGCAGGTTCGGGAGGCTAAAATCGACCATCTCACCCACGAGTACGAACTCTTCTCAATGAAGGAAAATGAGAAGATTGAGGAAATGTTTGAGAGGTTCTCTAACATCATTAATCCTCTCAATCTTCTCGGGAAGACTTACACCGATCGAGAACTTGTAAGAAAGGTGCTACGAAGCTTATCCCCAAAATGGCGTTTAAAGGTGGACGCAATTGAAGAAGGTTGTGACTTCCAAACAACGACCTATGATGCTCTTCGAGGTAACCATTACCTACGAAACCACCCAACTCTCAAAGGTGGTTGAAGAGAAGAGCAAGAGGTCTATTGCTCTACCCGCAACAACATCATCCCACAACAAAGTTGATGATGAAGATGATGACAGCGACGACACCGATCTCGGACTCTCCGTCCGGAAATTCAAGAAGATGATGCTCAAGAGGGGAGCCAAGAAGAAAACTCCACCCAAGTGCTATGGGTGTGGTGAAATTGGACACATCAAACCAATGTGTCCAAAGCTCAAGAATGAGAAGGACAAGAGGGCACCAAAGAAGCAACGTGCCTACATTTCTTGGGAGAACGACGGTTCCGGGAGTGAAGACTCGGAAACGGAGGAAGTGGCCGACCTATGTCTCATGGCCATTGAGGATGGTGAAACATCAAAAGAGGTAAGTGATCAAGAACCTTCTCCCAATGTTCCTTTAACTCTTAATGATGTTGTTTGCATTGTAGAAGAACTTGTAGGAATGTTCAAAGAGGCTTCCAAAGAAGAAAAAATTAAACAAAAAATCCTGATTTTTGAAAAAGATGTAAAAGAACTCAAAAATATAAATGATAAACTTAAACAAGAAATTATCTCTCTTGGAAAAAGGCCACAAGAACCTTCATCTACTTCTTCTACATGCTCTAGTTGTACATCACTAAAAGCTAAGGTTGCTAGTTTAGAGAGTAAATTGGGAAAGTTTAATAATGCTTCAAACACCTTAGATAAAATGCTTAAGCAAAAAGTTAGTAATGGTGAAAGACTCGGATATAAGAAAAACCAACCTAGAAAAACAACATTTGTTAAAGCTAGGGGGAATAAAAATGCTAGGACAAATAATCAAACTAGAAGAGCACCTCCTAGCAAACCTAGAACTCATTACACTCAACCATATAGGATGAATAATCCAAACATTATTTGCCATTATTGTAATAAGATAGGTCACATTGCACCCGTTGCTTCACCAAAATTAGGCATTTTCAACAAACGCACACACATCGCACATATGCTAACCAAAAAGGACCCAACAATACATGGGTACCTAAACCGTCTCCTTAATGTCTTTTGTAGGTGTGCTTGAAGGCTTCGAGTACCTCTTGGTATCTCGATAGCGGATGCTCCAAGCACATGACCGGAGACGCATCCAAATTTAGGAGTTTAGAGTATTTCAAAGGTGGCAATGTCGTTTTTGGTGACAACAACAAAGGAAGGATCATTGGTGTTAGAATAAAGGCCCAACGCTAGAGGGGGGGTGAATAGCGTTTGAAAACAAAATCACAGGAAATTAAAACGAGAGCGTTAAAGTAAAGAGCGTAAGGAAGGAGCACACCGGATTTTATCCTGGTTCACCACAACGTGTGGCTAATCCAGCCTCTCGAGAGACTCTCTCGAGCTACACTAACTCCGTTAAGCTTAAGGGTGCTTAACAAACCGATACAACTTGAGAACCCGAGTCACACGAGCCTCAACACCTTTGCTCGGAGATACCGCACTCCAAGACTTCTCACGAAGGAACAAGTAATTTCCTTCGAGTTTACAACAAGGGAACAACCTCCCTTAAAGTGTATGAAAACACTTAAACACTCA